TGACCATTGCTTGCACCATGGGATTAATTATAGCCTGGAAGCTCGCATTGGTAATGATAGCAGCACAACCCATTATCATAATTTGCTACTATTGCAAGCGTGTCCTACTCAAAAGCATGTCCAAAAAAGCTATCAAAGCCCAAGATGAAAGTAGCAAGCTTGCAGCGGAAGCTGTTTCCAATATTCGTACTGTCACAGCCTTCTCCTCACAAACAAGAATTTTGCAGATGCTCAAGAAAGCCCAAGAAGGGCCACAAAAGGAAAATATTCGCCAATCATGGTTTGCAGGTATAGGGCTTGGGACCTCTCAAGGCCTCATGACATTAACTTGGGCTTTAGATTTTTGGTATGGTGGTAAACTGGTTGTAGAAGGCTTCATGGGATCAAAAGCACTCTTCCAAACGTTCATGATCTTGGTGAGCACAGGCCGTGTTATAGCTGATGCTGGGACTATGACAAATGATCTAGCTAAAGGTTTCGAATCAGTAGGGTCAGTTTTTGCAGTGTTGGATCGGCGTTCCTTAATTGAGCCAGAGAACCCAGAAGGTTACAAGCCTAATAAGTTAACTGGCCATGTGGAGTTGCAAAATGTTGATTTTGCCTACCCTGCAAGGCCCAAAGTAATGATCTTCAAAGGCTTTTCAGTCATAATTGAAGCTGGAAAATCAACAGCACTGGTTGGAGAAAGTGGATCTGGAAAATCAACTATAATAGGTTTGATTGAAAGATTTTATGACCCACTTAAAGGTGTAGTAAATATTGACGGCCTAGATATGAGGTCATATGACTTAAGGTCACTGAGGAAGCACATTGCACTTGTAAGCCAAGAGCCCACACTATTTGCCGATACCATACGTCGAAACATCACTTATGGAGCATCAGAACACATCGATGAAGCTGAGATCATCGCAGTAGCAAAGGCAGCAAATGCCCATAATTTTATTTCAGGTTTGAAGGATGGGTACAATACATGGTGCGGCGATAGAGGGCTGCAACTATCTGGGGGGCAGAAGCAACGAATTGCAATAGCACGTGCCATTTTGAAAAATCCAGCGATATTGTTACTAGATGAGGCCACAAGTGCGTTAGACTCGCATTCGGAGAAGGTGGTGCAAGATGCAATTGAGCGTGTGATGGTGGGGAGGACTAGTGTAGTTGTCGCACACAGGCTAAGTACCATACAAAATTGTGATATGATTGTTGTTTTGAGCAAAGGGAAAGTGGTAGAACAAGGTACTCACTCTTCCTTGTTAGCTAAAGGACCAAATGGAGCATACTATGCATTAGTTAGTGCCCAAAGATCTCCTTGCACTCAATCAACTAATTGAGTCCATTATCTGTTATGTGAGCACTTAATATTCTACTAAATTGTAAACGGGATGATATTCTAATAACATTCTTAATATTCTACTAAATTGTAAATGGGATGATATTCTAATAACATTCTCATTCCATTAAATTCCAATATATAGAGTTGACTTCAAGTAATGAAAATAATGCTTAGTTTGTGGAGTTCTCTTTGTTCAATAACATGAGGTCTTATCTTGGATTTCGATGTCCAAATGCTCATTTTTCTCTTTTTCTTGGGAGGATGATGTAACCACATACTATAAAATCTCGATATAATAATAGACTACTTACAAGTTCCAATATTGTTTATGTCTCTTTAATTTTAGTAGTTTAGAATGTTGTGTTGTATTTAATTTGGTTGACATTGTCCATTGAACTTCCTGAAAATGTGTTTAAAATCATTGTAAGCGGTTGCAATATTAAATAAAATTATAAAACTTAGACTTGTTTCAATTCTTGTTGATCTAATATCGATTTTCTTTAGAATAAACCATTTTGTTGATCAGGAATCATTACTTAGATTAATTGTTGATCGTAATGGCTGATAACAATAAATCTCACATATTACTAACAATTAAGATTTGACAAAATGTCTGAATACGAAAATTGCCTACAACTCGATTAATTTTTATTAATGTTGACCTCCTTTTCTGAACGGATGACGTGAGCCACAAAGGTTTCGAGCATCGGGGACATGAATATAGAGAGAATATTGAAAGAACTATCTTACTTTGAGTGTGTAAAATAGCATTACTCTCAAATGTCACTAAGTGTGAGTTTTTATGGTAGAATAAGTGAAATAACAGTCATTAGATAAAGAGAGATACGTGGCCTCATCTTGATAGCTGAGGTCTTCTCCTAGGTTGACGGGTATTTAATGCTTTCTGAAAAGTGATCATCGTAGAGTTTAAGCCCGACCTTTGAAATATAGACCGATAATTTGACTTTTTAGGCATCTGCTGTAGAAATGTCACATCACTCAATCGTAAAAATATGTGCAATAGATTTCCTAGAAGAGGTGAGGTGGGAGATGCCTTTTATCAACAAGGAGACTAATCACTTCAGATGCCTTTCTGCAGCATGCGTAACACCTTGCCTAGCCATGAAGGATTTGCCACTTCATGACACTTCAATGAAAGTGATGCGTCACCTCTACTGCCTTACGTATTGCCTCACTATGATTAGGTAAGATGGTGATGTAGAGTGTAAGTCTAGTTGGCTTTCTAGCTAACTGTCACGTGGTGACGATTTTAATCCTAGTCATATGAGGCATAACAGTTAAAGTATTCTTTCATTATAGTAAATAATATATATATTAGTAAATAATTTTTTTATTGATACATTCATTCGTTAAAATTATCTATCAAGAACATCTTCAAAAGACTCTCTAATTTTAAAGAGCATATTCAATCATTTAAAGAATATCTATAAATTTAAAGAATTAAAATTTTGAAGTACTCCAACAAGATATTTATATTTAACACTTAATAGTACTACTCCAAAAAAATATTATTTATTTTTTCTTTATCTTTTATTTTAACTAGTTTTTCTTTAAATTATTTTACTATTTTCATACATGAAAATTGAAACACTTCGAATGCTTTTAATTTGAAGAGTCAAACCAACTCTCTAAATTAAAATGTTAATTTAAAAAGTCTCTTAGAACATGATTTTAAATGTTGACTCTTTAAAATAGAGAGCATCTTATGTTTAAAGAGTCTTTTGGAGATACTCTAAGCACAGGTTTTGGCATGCTAATAAATGCTTACAACTAACTATTGGAGTCCACTACTTTCTATGGTTCAAATAAAAAGTCCCACATAGTTATAACTACAGGATTCATTACCTATTGTGGTTCAAAATAAACAATTGTAAGTCTCAAATAGTATTTGAGTTTATCTACTTTTAAAATATATTTTTAAACATGACCAAACAAGTAATATATGGAACGTGAATTATATATTAGAAAAGAAAGACGAAGTGACGGTGAATTAAATAAAGAATTTTTAAGTGGAAAACTTTTAGAATTGCGCTACACATACATAACAACTTACATAATTGTTTACATAATACTGATCTGATGAGCCAGCCATCTAAAAAAATCTCCCCCAATTTTTTTTTTTTCAGTTTTAACCATCGTCAGTTTTTCCCCAACTTTACCACGCCTTTCAGAGAGACACATAACAAATGGAAAGACAAACATCCCAAAACCTTCCCTATAACTTTTCCAACATCGACGTCGGCAACATCTATACACATAAGTTATTATTTTGCTATGTTCATGTGAAATTTTGAAATAGTTTCATTAATTTTAAATCAATATCCTTTTTTTCTACAAAGTTAATGTTGAAAACCTCTCCCCACCATCTCCTTCTCCACCGTGTGTCATTTATCGATTTACACAGGTAAATACTAATTTTGGATTATTTTTTTTTAATCTGTGAGATTACGATTGGTGTAAACATAGATAAATTTACATTTTTTAGGAGGAACAACTTGTTTGGTTCAAATATTAACCAAAACAAAATGGTTTTTCAGTAATTCACCACAACTAAAAAATGTATGCATTAAGATATGAAATTGATGGGGATGTCTAGCAAAGGTGTTAAGAACTAACGGGATTTCTATTATACCATTTGTCAAGAATTATGTATTTCTCCTCCGATCCCCTTATTGTAATTCAGGATTGAAATATCGAAAATGTATGGCAAAATATAAAGTATATGATCATAAGCAAAATAATAATAAAAGACAAGAAATATGGTAGAGGAATTTGAAGATTTTATTGACTCATGAACAATAATGGAGAAATATACAATTGATCTAAAGTTCTAATAATCACCAAGTCTAAACTATCATATATTCTTAAAACATGTCTCCTTAATTGTAGAAAAGAGCCAAGTATATATAGGCAACAATGTATGGCGACGTCCAAAGCCTAATAAATGAGTTGTAGTTGAAATAAAATTCCAAAAAAACGTGTTAAAACGCGAAAATGACCTTGGTCGGATAAACCTGTTGCTCGGGCAATAAGATAGTGACATGTCCGTCGTTCGAGAGTCAAGCGGGCATCAAGCGAGCGACCAAGTTTTGGGAGAAAACATACAGGTGTTGCTCGAACAGTCAATTAGCGATAGACTAGTGAAAATGCGGTGACTTTTCTTCCTGGATCACCTCTTCAAGTACAATACAAATGTCAACTCCTAAAAAGGCTTCCAAATAGAATTTCAACTTGAATAAGACTCCAATAGTATTCAAAACTGAATTCTTCTTAACGTGTACTTCAATTAGAATTTTTCAATTACTTCAACAAAGAATTCAGGTCACACCCAAATTCTAACAATCTCCACCTTAACACGAGGTTTATTCAACGAACAAAGCTCCAAAATTTTTCTACCTAGAGAAGAAAATATGTCTGTAAGAAACGAACTGAACTCTTCAATAATAACTAAAAATGATTTCTCAAACAAACACAAAATACTCCACATTTTCCAATGAATCAAAGCATTACTTTGTAGAATTACCTCAGATTCACAAAAAACATAAAGATTCTAAAATTTACCAACCAGGACTGTAACACTTCCTGAAACAGAATCAATCTCAAATACTTTTACAGAATGCCTCTTGTTAGATTGTACACCTTCTACTACGTTTAAAACATGCCCAACAAAATTAGCATCCAAATACCTTTCTCCACTAGATCTGTCCCTAGCAATTGAATACAATAACACCGCAGGTGATGGTGACAAAGTGTCATTATCCATATCTTCTAAACTCAACTGAGTAGTATTCTTCAAATTCGACCTCATACAAAAATCTAAAGGTATTGTACCAAACTAAATGTCCACCACGGTACTGAACCTATACTGATTGACTCTTCTAGATTTTGCACAATCCTGCAAGATGTATAACTGAGATATTTTCTATCCCTCCAAGATAACTTGGGCGCCCTTGCAAACCTTAAATGCTCCACCTCTACATCCACCAAAGATCTCATAACCCTTTGAATCAAGAATATATATTGAGATGAGATACTTCTTCAAATCTGGAATATGTCAAACTTGGCCAAGTGTTCTCATTGTCCCATCCATTAGCTTCAATCCGACCTTACTAATTCTAACAATCTGACAAGGTACGTTGTTTTCAATAACTGCGACACGTTTGAATACTATTTCATATGTAGTAAATAAATCCTTATTAGAACATATATGAAACACACATGCAGAATCCAGAATTCAATCATCCTCTGGTTTAGACTCAATGTCATAAACAACCAAAAGATCTCCCTCATTTACATTGTTCTCTGTAAGGTCTGCTTCGCTTGATTTATCTAATTTTATACCATTCCAATTTGTAGCCAATCTTACTTTATTATGCAATTTGTAGCAATCATTCTTAAAGTAAGATCTTCTTCATCATCATACTTTACTGTCAAACTAAGATCTTCTTTATCAATGCCAAATCTTCTTCATCATACTTTACTGTCAAACTTTCTAAATCAGCAACTATCTCCTTAAATACAGTTAGGTGATCTTTCAAGGATCCACCTTCTGCAATATGATGAGAGTATAATTGCTGCTTCAGATGCAATTTGCTTGTTAGAATTTTGGTCATGCACAATTGCTCCAATTTTAACCATAAAGTAGCTGCTGAAACCTCCTTCAAAATGTCCTGAAAAATGTTATTCGAGAGATGAAGATGAATATGAGAAAGTGCCTTCTTATCCTTCCTAATTTCTCATATGCGGTCAAAGTTGCAGGCGTCTTATTAATTTCCAACGACGTATTATCCAAATTTGTGCGAGTACTTCTCGCATCTTAACTTACCACAACGTGAATCTGGTGTTTCAATCCAAAAGCGGAATGTCATACTTCATGGAAGCAATCAAGAACAAAGACTTCGAACAAATCAAAACCTTGCGCTCTGCAAAACTGCTGAACATGGCTGTTGTACCACTTGTTGAGAGCCGACGAGATTGTTATGATGCCACTTGTTAAGAATTATGTATTTCTTCGATCCACTAGTTGTAATTCAGGATTTAAATATTGAATTTGTATGGCAAAATATGAAATAGATGATCGTAAGCAAAATAATAATAAAATACAAGAAATATGGCAGATGAATTTGAAAATTTTATTGACTCATGAGCAATAATAGATAAATATACAATTGATCTAAAGTTCTAATAATCATCGAGGCTAAACTATCATATATTCTCAAAACATCTCTCATAAATTGTAGAGAAGGCAAGGGACCAATTCTTGGCAGAAAACTTGCAGGTGTTGCTCCAAAATTTGGTGCAATCTTTTTTGCTATGATCGGACATCCTATAGCATGCATTGTCTTGATATACTGATTTTCAGAAGGTGTGGTTGGTGGATTAGTTCAGTCCTGGATTTGGTGGGTTTCTACGATTGAGGGGCTGAATGGGAAAGGTTCCCTTGTTGAAGTGGAATCAACCAAAGAATCTACCGAGGGTATTGGATATTCATCTTTAGGTGACGCTAAATTCAGATTTCTAAAATCTATACATACCCTTATATTGCCATT